TTCGAAGCCGTAGATGCTTAGTTGCTTTTTAAGATTAGCCTTTGCATAATCGATTGAAAAAAATCGAAATTTGAAAATTTGTTAGAAAGTTCAGAAAAGATTTTAAAAATTTACCAAATTTGGACGTGGTAGAAACCATGGCTTCTTATAATTACGGCGATTATTTCAGTGACCACATGAGTAATTATCACAAAAAAATAATGCTAAAAAGAGAAAGAAAAGGTGCGTCGATAGTGTTTAAATCGTTTGTCTATATTTGTTGCAGGATTTAAAGAGTTGAAAAACGGAAAGGATCTCGGAACGACCTAATATACAGGTATATGGTGGTTTCATTTCTCTGGAAAGTTTCGCGAGGGAATTTGTGGATTTGTTTCTCATTTCTCTAGAAAGTTTTGCGACGAAAATTTAGGGCAAGATCGAAAGTTTAGGTCGGTCCGAAAGGTGCCGTCTTCCAAACGCATGCAACCACCTGAAATAATGGACGAATTCTCTGAACAATGTCCATTTGTTTAGATTTTTTGTTGTCTATGGTTTTGTTTAGATTCCTTTGATTTCCGCTCAAAAACTCGTCCCAATCCATGGTTTTTATCCATTTTGAGTTTGGCTATTTTTTTGAATTTTCCATTTTCAACTTTGGGACTAGCTTTGATAGTAGGTGAATAGAATAAACAAAATGCAATACGAGTAACTGTTTTAGCTTTTTCGACTAGCTTTTGTATTTCCCAAAATTTTTTTTCAAAAGGACGATTGGTGGACAATTGGTGGACGATTTATCGATTTGTCGATTTTTAAGGTGCCCAGACCTTACGGGAGTGATGGGGGGCGAGGGGAAGAAGTCATGGTGAACGAATAACCTTGGGTGATATTGCTAATTAATTATCAAATTTTCGCAATTTTATTCTAAGAGTGCCCGAACCTGGCAGCGGGATAAGGAAGTATTAGGTTGCTGCATAAGTCCTGTCCGGTTTGAATTTTTTGATTTCAAAATGTCATAACTTCTTTCAAAATCAACTTTTTTCCAAGATCTTAATTTCCGTGTGTTAAGCAATTTATCTATCTGATAGCAAGCTATCAGATACATTTTAAAACCTGCAAAAATCCTTGTTAAGGAAGAAGCAAAAACTTAAAAACTTTACTGCGTTTTTCTTCAAAATTGTCTTTTTTGACATGGCAATACTCCCTTATGAGAATTGGTAGGCATCTTATCTGACAATGGACAGATAGAGATATTTTCGTAGATTATTTAGCAACATGAAAGAGCCCATAGGGTCTGCGCTGCCGAGAGATTTTTTTGACTGAACAAAAAATTAGCCACTTTTTGACCTCGCTTCAACGCATGTGTGCATGCCTATTTACGAGTTATGAAAATTTTACAATTGACGTGAGCGCCGGAAAGGAAATAGTGGATGGGCCCTGCTGCTCTTTCTTTACCCTAGCACCTCCAACTTTGAAGTCTTCGATTACTTCTATTCGCAGAAAGTTATTGCTTGTAAAACATCTATACAGAAAATTAATGTTTGACAATAAATTTTGATAGCAAGATTTTCTTCACGAAACTGAACTTATGCGTATGCTAGCCTATCACACCCTTATTCCGCAACCAATTAATAAACTTGACCTGAAGGGCGCATTGTGGAGATTTTCTCGCAAGAATATATTTCTAGGGTGAGAACCTACCTCGGCCACTTGGAAATTTTAAGCCTAAACCTCCTTACACTAAAAAATTTATTGCAATTGCTTCAGAAAGCGCAAAAAAAGCACTTTCTAATGATACTAACAATACCGCATTAGATAAAATTCTCTTAACAGCTGCTTCAAACATGAGGCAAAAAAATCGGACAAAATTTGTGCAACAACCTAATATATGGTAAACACTGTGCCCGTAATCAAATTTGGGAACATGGAAGTGGCAATAGCAGAAAACGTTTCTGCACAACACAAACATATAAATTCACAAACTTGCTGGCACACCCAGCCCCGCCGGCCTTGCACACTACAAGGTGTCCCAAAAAATGTGCACACTGTTTGATCGTTAATCGTCATACAGCAGCGAAAAGAGATCGGAGTTTCGCTTCACACTGGTAATCTAAGTTTAACCTCGCTCTACAGAATGATGCCTAAAGATCTTTGAGAGACCTCGAAGCAAGCGACTTATTAACGATCAAACAGTGGGCACATTTTTTGGGACACCCTTTATGACTGATATACCATGCTCTATTTTGTACAAGATTGCCCTGCTCCTCACACTTCTACATGAAAGTATCCTGCTTCCACCAATGTCGTAACCAGCATGCTCATCTAACCTCTGCGCAAAACTCCATTTCTACACGCTAGTAGCCCCTCCCCCCCCCCCTCAGGGATGCCTCACCTACACCTTGCCAACTCTCCCGCCTCGTAACTCTAACTTTGCAAAAAAAAAGATAAGGGTAATTGATAATCCTGAACAAGAACATAGTATCCGTAATCGGCATGCTCGTTTACCCTCTGTGCCAACTGCCAACCCCTTGGCTCATACTTTGCAAAAGATCGATAGAATCAATATCGATAGACAATGAAAAAAAAGCGTGGCACCTTATTCGTTCCAAAATGTACGTGTGCAAAGTTTGGTCCGAATTGGTCTATAATTGAAAATTTCTATCCGGAGCATACGTAGCAGACAGACATTTAGACGTCATTTTAAAATTGAGGCAATCTGCTTCCCAAGCCATTTTTTGTAATTAAAAATCTCGCGAGTTCAGCTAGCATTGATAATCACTTCGCGAAGCGTTTTTGCTCGAGAAAATATTGACCATCAATTTCAAAAACATTTTTTTTGGGTGTTCCTACTATATCGCACCACTGTTGATTGCCATTCTTATCCATTAGCTTTAGAGATAGCGATGTAGTGAAGTTAACCCACAGTAGCTCCGTGCGGAACGGCCACTGACGAAAGCGATTGTTAAAAGAGAAAGAAATTTCACGCTTTTATCGAAATTTTTATATGAATGAGAAATCAAACTTATATAGCGCCTGTTGATTTCGCAAAGGCTTGGTATGACCAAAAAATCTGCCAGGAACCAAATTTGAGGCTGCTCCCAAAACTTCTTGAAACAAAGAACTGCGGCAAATGACCGTTTAGAAAAGGTTGCGGGTTCATAATTGTGGAGAGTATGTGACTTTCATATGTATGCAACTTTTTTCTTCTCTATCATGTAATTCATTTGGACAAAAGGGAAATGTTCTGACGTTCCTCATTCAAGGTCGAGAAACACCCCCAATAGGGAAAGCTCGAAGCCAAAATAAAATTCATGTATACGTAGGCATTTTCATACTATAAACTGCATAAAATTTAAATGTTATACACTTACATAAAAAAGGCGAAAACTATGGAGACAAGGAAAAGCAAAGGCAAGCAGAAAAACAAACGTGAATCTACAATGAACAATAAATGAGGAAATGTACCATTCGTCTGCAAATCATGCTGAATGGAATGATTGAGCTTTGTCGGTTAAAATCGTCACATTTGCTGTGAGTAGCTGTGAAGTTTCTGTACTAAAGCCTTCAGCCGGCTTTGCACTAGCGAAGCTTTTTTTGCAAACGAATGATACATTTTGATATCTGCGATGATGAGGCTAATCAAAGTGATAGTGGCACCAAACTTCTTTGTCCCATACTTTTTTTCCAACTTTCTCTTTATGCCACCGTACGCATCCAACATTGAGGGAGGTCGGAAGAATTCCGTTCTGAAAATATTTGCATCGCATATTTGTTCAGATAGTAATAAAAAAAATGCAAAATTTGAGCTAGGGGGCTGGAATTTGGCAGAGGGGTGTAATCGAGCTCAGCATGCTCGATTACCCCCCTGTGCCGACTCCCAGCCCCGTAGCTCAAATTTTGCAAAAAATCAATAAAATCGATATCGATCGATGACGAAAAGTAGCCTACGACATCCGCCGGGGCCCGAAATGTATGTGTGCCAAGTTTGGTCCGGATCGGTTAAATAAAAATTTCTATTCGGAACATACGTATATACAGACATACATACAGACATACATACAGACATACATACAGACATACAAACAGACATTCAGCTTTATATATAAGATATGGTTCTTTAGTTGCCGACCTATTATATTGAATTGTATGCAAGCGTAGGCATGCCAGTAAATGAAGATCAAAAAGTTCTAAAGTCATGAATCATGACACATGAAAATTTAGGAGAAACACCTTATATATAAAGCTAAATGTCTGTTTGTCTGTCTGTATGTCTGTATGTCTGTCTGTATGTCTGTGTGTACGTATGTTCCGAATAGAAAATTCCATTTCTGAACCGATCGGGACCAAACTTGGCACACATACACTTCGGGCCCCGGCGGGTGTCATAGACTACTTTTCGTCATCGATCTATATCGATTTTATCGATTTTTTGCAAAATTTGAGCTACGGGGTTGGGAGTTGGCACAGGGGGGGTAATCGAGCATGCTGATCACCCCCGTGGGGGCTCAAATTTTGCAAAAAATCGATAAAATTGACATCGATCGATAACGAAAAGTGGACTGTGACACCCGCCGGGGGCCGAAGTGTATGTGTGCCAAGTTTGGTCCGGATCGGTTGAAAAATGGAATTTTCTATTCGGAACATACGGCGGAGCCGGGTAAGCCAGCTAGTAAACTATAAACCTATCCACTCGTTTCATAGCTACTTCAAGAATCAGAGCAGGTGTCAATTGAAGAGAGGTAGCAGGAGCGTTAAAAATTTTTTGATTTTAGTGGTTTGAATGTTCAACGTGTAAACTCAATAAAGAAAAAAAGAACTAGCTATTCACTGTAATTTTTCACATTTGCTTACTAGCTTATAAAATTGGCCCGCATACAGATTTTTGAATAGATAAACATTACGTTGGACTTCCCCCACGGATCTTCTTTTTTCAGTGCGTCGTAAACTGCTTTTCTGAGTCCGAACTCATCAGAATTCCTAAATACGACACATCTACGTACTTAATAAAATCGATGAGATTCAAATTACTTGTATTTGACTACCAATGTCTCAAGACCGCTGTACGTGTAATTTTCGAGACGTGGATCATAAGTCTGGAACAAAGCCAATGTAAGTGAATCATTTTTTCATCGATGTGGTACGTAGCGCAATCTCCAGAAGACTTACCACTACGATATTGTCATGACCATAGTCTTTAAAATAACCCCTGAATCCATCTCTAATAGATCTTTTGAACTTGTCGCCATTACCCTTACCAGCGCATGAGATCACCACCACTTGAGCAAGCTGAAAATTATCATCCTAATGGAAGTCTCACTGATACATATCTACGTTTCATGATGTCGCAACCCGTGACTTACCGTAAGCAAAGCAAAACGTCGCAGCATCACTGAATAAATTTTCTCCGATGTCATTTTATAGCAAAAAAATGATGAGGGATCCTTTGAATAGTAAGTGCAATTCAACTTTTCGAAAGCTTGGAGCCATTGAGAGAGGTACGAGCTCGTGGTAGCAAGTGCATTGAACAGGTAGTTCGTAGCAGGAACTTTCACATCACTAACTCATATAAGCGACGTCCGTAAAAGATTACACTAATTGCTCCTTCAAGATCATTTGCAGGGTAAGTTAAGAGTTACTGATAGCTTCCAGATGGTAAATGCCAAGAATAGTCTGAAGAGCAATTTCTTTTTTGATGTGCGGGGGCGTTAAAGTGCAAACGGCGTTTTAATCTTCTGTCGCACCCATTCTCCTCCTATATAGGCTTTATTATTTGTTGGAAAAGTGTGCTTCACTAGTGCCCGCCTGCGAGTACATTGTGGACTTGGAAGCAGAAATTTTGCGTGGGCTGCCTTCAATATGTTGAACTAAAGTTGCACAATTTTTCTTCTCGAACCAAGTGCGGTAAAATGACACTTTATGTGACCTTTGTGTCTCTTGTAGCCTCCTTGCTAACAAAAGTTTCTCTCAAAAGACAAATTGAAGCTACCATTTGATAAGAGGTTAATTGAGCTTTTTGCTATTGCAAAAAAACATTTTTCCAGAAGCTTGTCAGCAAGAGATCAAGGTAAGTGTAATCAAAGGATGACATTTAATTTAGGCCGATTTTTAGTGTTCTTTAGAGCGACATTCAACCTTACTTACAATTACAGGGTGCGGAAAAAGTACCGTACCTCAAAATAAAAATAGAAAAATTGGCGCGATTAGTTTTTCGAATAAATTCGACATAAACCCTAAGATGGGAACACATTTCAGCATTTTGCGAAAACTGGCTCCGAATTTCTGCAGTTTCACCTGGCGGCGAATCTCTCCACGCAACGCATTCCATATCAACTCCTACATTTTCTTTTAAAAATTGTTTCCATCGTAAATTTGAGAAATCTTCTACTACCTAAAGAATGTGATAATGACTCCAGAATATCCTAAAACTAGTTAGTCCGAAGTTGTGCTAGGAAAAAAACTTTGATTTTCTTGGCGAAAAAAGTTTGCGGCGCAACAGGGTGCGATCAATAAACGTGGTACAGAAACTAAGTTCAATCGTTTATTGCTCCAAAATCACGATCTAGACAAGGTCGATGCTCTTTTCATTGTTTCCGTCACTTTTTGCTAGAGTTCAAATTTTGTATCATAGTTTGCATCCAATTCATTGAGCAAGAGCAAACTTGACTAACCTCTTTTTGAGAGTTTTTGAGATTTGCGTGTGATACAATCACTCTTGTTTGGCCAAAAAAGACATAACCAATCTATAGTTGATCCATACAAAGAATAGAGTATTGAAGAAAAGGTCATGCGCTACATGCCAGCTTAATTTGTACCTTTCATCAGTGCTGGTGTCATAGTTTCGTCCAAAATCGCGCTTGTATGCTGTCGGCGCATCAGTGTTCCCGCGGCTGTTATCACTTGCTCAACTAGACAGAAGAAGACAGTTTGAAATCAAACTTACTTAATCTAATCTCAAGGATCTTGCTCAGATATGGGAATCAGAAAAATGCAGATTTTCTTTTTGTTTGAGGTAATTCAGGGGCAAAGCTAGAAGGACAGTACTTTTTCCGCATCCTATAGATTATTGCAAATTAAGATTTTCTTTATGCTACGATAAGTGGATATGAAAGAGAGATTTTAACCCCGTTATCTAGTGGAACAAAGCAAGCTTTTCCATGCTATGTGCTAAAATGAAACATTCTAACTACTGAAAAATCGTTTTGTCCAAAAGCATCCCACACTCCTAACACGCCTGTACTCCATAGTAGACATTTATGTACACAACTATCTTATTCTTTCAGTGGTCAGAAGTCTAGAAAATGAAACGTCGCATTCATTAACATCCCGTTGGGGAGGAGATCGCAGCTCAATAGAAAACTTTATAGTTGTTCAGGTACCTAATTTTCATGCTGTCTGTCCATCCGCAAGTGTTTTTACTACCCATCACTGTGAACATATTGAACAGAAGCAGAAGTTGTACAAGCCGCATACCAGGTTTTTGTATGATATCTGTTGATCCCAGCGGCCTATTTTGTATTTTTTCTTTATACAAATTGAACAAAAACATCTCCAAGGTGTGTAGATTTCTAACCCAACTATGCTAGGCATGTTTCCTGATAAGAACGGCTGAAGTGCTTTGTCGAAAATCTCAATATTTTGATAACTCATTTCTTCTTATCAAAAACATGCTTAACACTTTTGGGTTAAATAGTTAGTACAATTTTAAAATGTTTTCCCTAAGATACTGCTCGAAAAGAATCATCAGGTATCCTAAGAAGCTGGAAAATGCGGCTTGTACAGCTCATAGTAGAGGATAGTAGGAATAAATACGGTAGTCAGACAACGTAAAAACCAGATATCTGGTCAGGATACGAAGCTTTCTTTAAAGCTGCGATCTCCTCCCCGGCGGGGATGGTTATGCATGCGTCCCTTGGCATGTTTGACGTCAAAGCAATGCTGTGCCGTTCCCACAAAACGAATCTTAAACAAGGCTTTGCGTGTACAATGAATTCTCCAAACTTACAGGCGTAAGTTTGCATGGCACAGCATTGCTTTGACGTCAACAAAGAGTAAACGTTAAAACGGCAATATTTGTTCATTTTATGGCTCTGTTACATTGGTCACCAAAAACTACAGTAGCTATACATGCAAATGTTTGATGTTCAAAGTACATGCATGAACAATTTGGGATTTGGGGGTTCTATAGAGATTCTAAGCTAGCCCGTTGGGTGAGTAAACTTTTTCGGTGCACAATTCACGTTGATCAACTTTGTACGAAATTTCCAACTATATATTGTACAGCTTGCTTTGTTTTATCAATCAATATATTCGGCACTTTTTGATCCGCTTTCGTTGAATGGAGAACATGCCTAGTTTCGCATCAACTAATGGCAAGCGAGAAAATGAGGAGTATTTCAAAGAGCTTACATAAATTAAGGTTGGCTATTGCCAAGCTGCATGAATTACGCTATATGCCACTCCCAGCTTATTTCAAAGACCTTGCTTTGCTCCATCGTACAATGCTTTACACAATTTGCAAAGTTTTCGAAAATCCAAACAAAACGACAATCTTCTCAACGTGACATTTTTCCAAGAGTCTTCTTAATTCTGGAATATTATTCTAAGCTGGAATGGCGCAAGCTTATCATTTTCCATTCTTTCTAAGGTTAGCGATGAATTCTATCACCATTAAAATTTCTTCTCTAAAGTGGCATTCATTTACGAAATAATTCGATGTACTAACTCGAATCCTTAAGCCCAAGCATTGTGCTTGATCTTCAATTTTGCTGTGAAAAGATTTGTGTGGGATCTTTAAGGTGAGGATTTGAATGGCCTAGCTCTCCTCGTCCTCAAAAGCTTAATCGAGACAAAGCAGCATCGACGATACCAGACCATCAAAGTCCCTCAGCTTAGCTAGTTTCGACCTTCCTCCTAATTCATTCCGCGATTCTCAAGAGATGAAACCACGGTATACACGGCCGTTATGAAAGTTTCATCGCAGGAAGAACGTGACAGTAGGCACGGAGATATGTGGCAGAGGCCCTCCCATGCTAATTCTTTGATTCGTACGCTTTGTATCTGGCTTTCACCAATATATAATGCGCAGCAACGAAGGCACAAGATTTGATATCCAATTCTTAACGTTAGTTCTATTTACTTGTTGAAACACTTTCATTTTTCGCTCTTTGTCTAAGCGAGTCTCAAAGCTTGTTAATGGACCGACTATCTTGCCATGAGTTTTGTGATTGAAAGTTCAGGCGAAAAGCACGGAGTAAGGCTTAGAAGGTCAATGACATCAGGCAAAAAGTAAGTGTTGCAGATATTGTGTCTCTAGCCGTAGTTTCAACCATTAGTATTGACAGTTGGTTGGAGCGGGGGTGTATGTCAAGAGGCGCGATTATTATTGCCAGTTGGACGCCAAATAGCACATTATAAGTGTTTTACAGCTTTCTAAGAGTATATGAAATTTAGAAGAAGGTATATTAGGGAATTGCATGGGATGTTCATCTCGGTACTTTAAAAAAGATTCAAAACATCAATTTTGAAGGTCAAAAACCCATGAAAATGTACTAAGAACAAAATCGTAAATATTTTAGTCCGTTTCAAAGCAAAAACCATGAAACTCAGCACGCGGTTACTTTAGAGAGATAGTAAACCAATGCACTTTACCTGATACTTTTTGAAGACTCGCATAGCACTAAATTGGAAGTTTTGAGCTGATGACAGCCGTAGAAATCGCGCCTCTTGACCGTCTCCCGTTGGAGCGGTAGTTTCTTTCTGTTAGAATTACCTTGACTTCCAACAATGTATTCGCACCCAGCTGCTGGATGGCGTCATTTTAATCAATATACTAAATGTGAGCGTCAAAATACTTCGTTTAAAATCGACTTTTCGATCAATTTTATAAGCGAACGAGGTCGATATATCCGTTTGACCCCCCCCCCCCCACACACACACACACATACGCGCGCAATCCTTCACTGTGCCATACGGATCTATCGACCTCTCTGTTAGAATTACCTTGACTTCCAACAATGTATTCGCACCCAGCTGCTGGATGGCGTCATTTTAATTGATATACTAAATGCGAGCGTCAAAATACTTCGTTCGAAATCGACTTTTCGATCAATTTTATAAGCGAACGAGGTCGATATATCCGTATAGACAGTGAAGGATTGCGCGCGTATGTGTGTGTGTGGGGGGGGGGGGGTCAAATCGAATGCATTAGTTGCGGCGCACTGTTAGTCGGTGAACCGGCAGAGTATTATGCGTGCATTGAAAAGCAACTGGCACAAGAGGTGGAAAAGCCTAACAACGCCGTTGGGTAGGCACAGGAGTGACGCACATGATGGAGGCTGAAGAAAGAAAACTTGAAGGCTTCGAAGGTGTTGAAGGGTTTCTGGGTCTT